TTTATGCACTTTAAGACAACAAATTAAAGCGCCCTAAAAGTGGGACTCGAAAAGAACTTTTGGTACCAAGAGGACAACGAACCTAAAAATTGCGCCCACAAAACAAAGCTTTTATGTGTAAAACAGCTACATTCTCTATTACAATAGTATATCTTAATCCCGTAAAGCATTTTTGTGATGTCCTGGAGGGCAGGACTCGCCTTCACACCCTTGCATCCAAGCATATCCTGAAAAAACTCAATGTCGATTAATGGAAGTAAATAACAGCGAAGGATGCACGGACATTGGTCCAATCGATGCCAAATATGTAGACTGAAGTTATAAAACATAAAGGGTATCAAACTCCGTACTAAACTCGACGTACTTTGCCCAAAATATGGCTTTTTCTAATACTATATGCATTTGTACACATACTTTTTCTGATGCGAAATCCGGCCAATTTGTACATTTTTGTTTATATTAGGAAAAGTAAAGGTGGTAGAAATTAATGAGTTACGTCAAATTAAAGCTTAATATGTGTACTAAATGTTAAAATTAAAATGACATTTTTACGAATTTTTTTAAGACGTTTTTTTAAGCTCTAAAGTTGCGGAAAATATTTGTACGCATACTTTTTCTGGCAAGTGTTTGTGTCCGCAGGCCTTTATCAGAGCTTTTTTCTTAAGCCCCTCCTCTGGAGCACAATGTAGGACGGGGACAGAATATACCCCGGCGGTTGGGCTCACCGATGTTGCTCCAGCGGACTCGGTCGGAAGAGCGAAGACAGCAGGAAGGCGGTAGAAGCCTGGCTGACCCTCGCCGCCCTCGCATTGGCTCCCCACAAGACCGAAGCTGCACGAGTTTAGGTAGAAGGTACAACAATAACCTAGCAGAGATCCATCAAACTGTTGGGGTCCCCGGCTCTGGTTTGGGCTGATGCCATGATGGTGAGGAGCTGGGCGCAATTAAGGTCGCCTGTGCCTTTCGAACAATGTCCGAAGACGCAGTCTTCGTAACCGCTGTAATTGCCCAATCAGAGGGCTCATGAGCTCAGGCAGCAAGGAGATGGCCAACGTGCCGCAACGGAAACGAGAGGAGCTCACAGAGACTCTGCGCAAAGGGAGGCGGACTTACCAGCTCATTCCCAACATAGGAGACAGGTATGCAGTACACAGGCACTAAGCGGCTATGGGTGCGCTTCGGAATGGATTCAGAGGACTGGTGCCCTGTAGGTGGCAGAGCAAATCATGTAATTTTCGAGTGCAGACGGTTTGCTTATCAGAGGCAAAGGCTGGGGGAAGTGAGAGCCTGGTTCACATAATGCTGGTGGGAAAAAAAAATGGGAACGTGTCGCAGGATACATTGCAGAGGTCAAGCGAAATAATGCTTAACGGCCGGACATGTTCTTACCTCTAAATCCCATCTACTGCCATAAAACACCACCCGCGCTCAACCCCACCCCCCACCAACCAACCCACGAAAACATTAGTTTCAACAAAATATTCAAAAAAAAAATGTATCCCAAAAATTTTTAACCGAATATACTTATAATCATATGTACACAATTCATATATGCGGAAGTATCGCAAAATTTAAACATAGATAATTGCTTTAATGATAATAACATGAACTATTACAAGTTTTACCTTTTTTCTTTTTGCTCGGACCTTTAGTATTTACAAGAGTTGTAACTTGTAGTACTAGAGGCTCAAGTGTTTTTTCAACTGACATTGTACGAATTTCCAAATTTTTTGGATCCCATTTCAGAGCAATCTGCCCAAAATCCGTTAGCGTTCCCATCTTATTAAAATGTATTTCACTTCTTTTTCAACAATTTTCTTGATGGTGCGTTCACGATAAAGCGACGACGCCTTTTTCGATTAATGATAGGCCTGAATTCATTGTTAAGGCATTTTTCCACTATGCGGTTTTTTCGGTATTTTTGTGTATTTTCGATTGGCAACGCGATAGGCGGACGTGAGGTGTTTCCATTGGCAAACGCGTCTGAAAACAGCTGTTGTGCTATTGTCATTTGCGAGCTGAAGTAAAAATGGATTTAAATAATTTGTTATTGATAATTGTAATCGCAGAACAGCATTTGAACGTGGAAACATTGCTGCAATGATGAAAGCAACAACATCCCACGTTACGCTGCTTGAGCATTTATTACAGCAGAAAGCAAAAGAATCTGCTGCAGAAGGCGTTCATATATATAGAATCTGATACGGGGCAGAAATCCTACAAGAACATTGTGCGCAAGAAAGAGGGGGATGTGCCCTTTTCCAGCAGTCGCCTGTCAACGTGTGTCATTTAAATATGGAATGGCCGTCGACGGTCAAAGTAGATTTTGCACCTGCGCTCAAATGCGACCAGGAGGTCGCCTTAATGGACGAATGGCGCACGCGAAGCAAACGTCAAGATCATGGAGACGGGAAAGCCCATGTGGCTGCGCTGCAACGACCAATATTTCGCTTCCGATCCTTTCTAGCCGAGCCATTCCATTGGATAAACGAACTGCTACTGCTCTTTATGCGCTTGGATCATCCTCGGAATTCTGAACTATTGCCAGATCATTTGGCATATATCATATATCAAATACCAATCTATACGAAATAAAGTTCATGCAAATATCAACAATAAATGGTTTTAATATTTCCCGCTTCTTATCAGCCTCTTATCAGTTTCGGGTCCAGAAAAATGTTCATGCCTGGTTAATACTGCTTAAATATACCACAAATTTCACTTTCCAGCCCTGTAACGCGACAAATTTCCACCCTCCCCTCCTCGCCCTCTCCAACAAGTTTTGTATGGGATTTGGGCGCGTTAAACGGTAAATGGATGCAAACGCGACGCGTCCATAATGAGCAGAGGGCATTACAAGGTTTGAAGTGATGGATAAAAAAGTTGTCAACGAATTTCTTAATAGCCTAATCCCACAGAGCACATTTCTGAAAAAGAGTTCGGACTTTTAAGAAATCTAATAGCCTCTTCCCATAGAGTCCATCCGTTTGAAACGGTTGGGATTTTTAACGAATGTGAAACTCGTGTTCCCACAGAACTCCATCCACAATCCAATAACAGCTGACTGAAGAGCAGTTGCTTAGCTCAGTATTAACGAAGGGGGATTTCAACTCGGCAAAACTGTCGTAAAATTGCGTTCTCCTAATCCTTTTGTAAAATAATACAATGATAATAGTAAAAAACATATCTGAACATTTTTAACATATCCTATAACGAGTATGCATATATTTTGCTGACTGGGGGAGAGCCTGACCTCCCGTACTCCACACTCCTCTCTAACTAAGCCTCTGTCTAGCCAATATTAATATGGCAAATTTGTAAACAAAACCAAATTTTTGTTGTTTTGGTAATTTATAGCAACTTTGGAACTTTTTAGGAGTACATAGTACCCTTTTAATTACTATTAGATATTATTTACGAAGTGCAGAACATATTCTGAGACTTCGCTGCAAACATTGATGATTTCGTACGCAGAACAGCTTAAATTTTTGCCCACTCATAGTGCTTGCGAGTGCTTTCCCGTCCAAAGCAAACGACAAATAATTTAAAAAAACGCAAGAAACAATGAGCTGAAGCATTATTTAATTTTATTCCGCCATCGATTTGATTTGTTCTCGCAGTCATCGTTCCAATTTTCACAGTCAAGAGGAAGAATTCAGAGTTGCACCGAGAAAACATCGTTTAACTATCGCATAAAAGAGCCCGTCAAAGTCCGTTAAAATTGGATAGCGGACTAACTGGGAAATTTTCGGAACGGCAAAACCTTACGGACCATCCGTTCAACGGATGGTAGATGGTGGATGGAGCTCTGTGGGAACCCCCATAAGGTGCTGTCCATATATTACGTAATCACAATTTCCGACATTTTTGTAAATTCTTCATAAAAAAAAAAAAAAAATTGCACTAGAGTAATCATTTGGTTAAAAACAGCTGTTCTGTGAAATAGTCCGTCGCGAGCTTCAGAAATGATTGGTTATTGATAATTGTAATGGCAGTATAAGCACTGAGTAAATAATTTGTAATATTTTAAAATTTGCGCCATTTGATTTTTTGCCGTTTGTCAGTAGGACCATGCTAGATGCTTTGCGGGTAAACTCTGAAAACTTCGGTCACACTACAAAAAAAAACAAGAGAGAACGCTATAATCGGGTTGGTGTCCCGGCTATCTAAAACCCGTCCCTCAGCTAAAGGCAGTGCGAGGGAAATGAATGTATAACATTTTTTTGATTGCGCATAACTTTTTAATTAATGGTCCGATTTGAAAAATGTATAGGGGTAATTCCACGTGAAAAAATTTTTTTATTAAGCTCCGATTTAGTATTTAGTATGCCACTTAGTGGGACATCTTAATATCTTTCAGAAAAATATTTTTAAAAATTTTTAATTTTTAGATTACGTATTTTTAAGCGAATTTTAAATTAAAAAATTCTGTACGTCGGAATACACGCGGTTTCCGAATGAAAAAATTATCCTAATATTGCCTCATCAATTCTAATACCCGTTCTAATCGCTAGACCTACTAGTACAGACAACGATTTTAGTTTAGCAACTTTGCATCAAGCAACAACAGCGCAACGTGTAAGAAAAGGAAAGAAATATTCGCGCTCTCTGGTGCTCGTATTGCTGTGATATAGATTGTAAAAATTTGAAGATAAGAGCTATTGACACGAATCTTTCCAAATCTTATTTTTCTAAGCATACCTTGATCGGTCGATTATATCCCATAGCTGCTTAAGAGAACGAAATTTTAGACTGTTTTTTCGGGTTAAAATTCCCCTTCGATTATGATGAGATGAGCAACTGCTCTTTAATTCAGCTGTTAACAGATGGCTCTGTGGGAATCGGTGTTTTAGGTATAACTGGGATGGTTGCGTTGAACTGATGGTGAATAGATCTCTGTGGGAAAAGCTGTACAAAATAACAGCCGTTTTACTGGAAAATGTGTGACTAGGGTATTAAGAAATACATGCACTTAAACTTAAAACGTTCCAAAGCATTTAGTATTTTTGAAAGACTTCCAGCATTTTTATTTATAAGATATTTAACCACACTGATTTTCGCTAAGGAAAGTTAGGTAATTATATTGAAGTAGTTATTTAATTTTATTTTGAAAAATAATTAAAAAAAATTGTTTGACTAATCAAGAACAATGCAAGGACTTGGACTTCAAAGCCTAAAAAAAAATCCAGCTGTAAGCTAAATACAAACACATGACAAAGTTACGTTTTTAATGTTACGTAACCGTTATTTTTACAGTTGATTCCACTTTACGTGTGTGTTGGAGCAGGAGCTATTGGTGCCGTTTACTATATGGCTCGGCTTGCCACCCGGAACCCGGATGTCACTTGGAACCGCACATCAAATCCCGAACCATGGCAAGAGTATAAAGAAAAACAGTATAAGGTACATTCATACTTATATCTACAATGTACATACTATTTACATTAGGTCGAACTTTTTATACCCGTTACTCGTACAGTATACAATACAATATCCTGCATAAGTATGTAACAGGTAGAAGGACGCGCGTCCGACCCAATAAAGTATACAGGGGTGGTCAAAAGTATTTTCACAAATGTTAATGCTAACTGTACTTGTATTTTGAACTTATAATATAAGCTTTTGGCACCTATAGAAAGAGCACTTCAATTCCGTTTAAATGACACAAAAATGTTCTTAACCCATTAAGACCCCTTTGAAAAGTGAGCAAAAGTGTTTATATTATAAGTTCAAAATATGAGTACAGTTAACATTCAAATTTGTGAAAATACTTTTGACTAGGGTTGTATATGTACAGTGGCGGACAAAAGTCTACGTACGACCCCTTTTTGGGAGTTCACCCATTCCTATTGCTTTTACGGAAAAAGTAATGATGCGGTTTTGTTCTTAATGTTATTAATATACAAAAAACAAAATTTTATTCTTATTCATAAAAAGCTTTAAAAGTTACAAACGAAAAACTTAAAAATGGCATTGACAAAAGTCTACCGACGATATTTTACATAGAACTTTCAAAATTTTCGCCCCAAAATTACCCAAACCTGCTCTATAATTTGTATGCCCAGGTGGTGAAAACAATTGCAGGGAAGCATAAAACAGCAGCCACTTCTTCAGGATATGCGCCGTATGCTTAGGATCATTATCCTGTTGGTGGATTGAGATGGTTCCGAGGCATTATTTGTCCACAGATGCCTTCAATTCAATGAGATCGAACCATAATGCCCTCGACGATAACCAAAGTTCCTTCTCCCGAGGCTTCAACTGTTCCCTACACCATGTCACTCAAACCGAAGTGATTTACGGTCCAAAATAGTCTTAGACAGTGTTCCAAAAAGTATCTATATTACTTTCTCAACTTTTTTACAAGTCCATGGGAGACAATTACAACTTTAAAATAATAGTAGGGTACGAATTTTTCAACTGCGCATATGAAAAAGCAGTTTTTCTTCAAACTCGGGTACCTCGTAGAGCTTGTCTTGGTGTTTTTTTGGTGTCCATTTAGGGGCGCTATGAATTTTTGAAGTTAAGAACTTAAAAAATCTTCTCAAACTTTAAATTAGTATATATTTATATATTTACTTAAATACACAGTGCAACATGAAAAATGTTACCGCAATTCTGATTTCATGGGCGGAAAGAACTCATCGAAATAAGCTAAAACCCATTTGGGTTTCTCTGGCTTAGTTCGCGCTTACCTTTTATAGCGAGTTAAAGTTTTACATACAAAATTAATTTGTAACGGCCATATCTTGTGAACCGATTAAAATTTCACTATCAAGTCTTCAGTGATTATGTAGCTATGAGCCCAAGGAACTAAATTGACAAATGACGCTCCAAAAGCAGAATTCAACCGTAAGAAATGCGCGATATTTGGTAAGAAAGAATTTATTAAACTGTTGACAAGCTTCGTATTGAAATTAAGGCACACCCAACTCAGTTCGAACCGCTGACTTTGGGGAGTTGCCATAGAGGCAGGGATGGTCCCAAAAACATTTTACAAATTGTTTTATGACAGTTAAACATTTCTTTAACGGATTAAAAAAAAATAATTGGAAAATTGCACAAAATAATTTTGGACTTTATGCCAAAAAAAAGGGATTTCATCCCAATGTGCAATGTATTTAAATATTGAATAAAAAATAGAAAGGAAACAAATGCGTTGCAGGTAAGAAATTACCGATCTTTTTGAAACACATCGCATTTTTTTAGTCGTTTTATTTACTATCCAAGAACAAGAAAAAATTAAGATATTAAAATATATTTTTTTTAAATTAGAACCGCATGTAACTTTGGTTTTTGACAAGTATTTTCCTAAGTTTTTACGGTGGTAGTACTTATTTTGTTCCAAATCGATTTTATCACTATAGACGGCAGTCCACGCAGTGACGAAGCGCACAAGGAGAGTGTGCAAAATTGAAAATCTGCTGTGATAGTCCGATCGAGTAATAAACTATATCTAATGGCTCCTATTAAAATAAACAAAAAAAAAATAATAGAAAAACCATTGTAACTTTGTAGAAAGTAGGCGTTTTGATTTTTGACAATGTAAAAACAACATCTTACGTAGGCATACCTGCAAGGGTATTTAAATTTCGGCTGGCCGAAGTTAACTTCCTTTCTTGTTTTTGATTAGTTTTGAGTTGCTGAACAAATTAAAAAGATTTTCAAAGAACCGTTCTGAAAATATTCACAAAAATCCAGATATTCGGAACACTATTTAAAAGGCAACAGATGCACCTTTCCGAAAAGCTATTACTTGTTGTGATCGGGTCGCAATTAACGGAGGTACAACCTGTGATAGTTAAAAAAAGTTTTATTTTTGGCGTTTTTTTATTATAGCTAGTTATACCCGTTACTCGTAGAGTAAAAGGGTATATTGTATTCGTGCAAAAGTATGTAACAGCTAGAAGGAAGCGTTTCCGACCCCATAAATTATATATATTCTTGATCAGGATCACTAGCCGAGTCGATCTAGCCATGTCCGTCTGTCTGTCCGCCTGTCTGCCTGTCTGTCTGTCCGTATGAACGCTGAGATCTCGGAAACTATAAAAGCTAGAAGATTGGCATTTTGCATGCAGATTCTAGGAGCTCCTACGCAGCGCAAGTTTGTTTCAAAAAGGTGCCACGCCCTCTCTAACGCTCACAAGCCCCCTCTAACGCCCACAGTTTTGAAGCTATTATGAAAATAGTAACTGATAAGTATTCGCTTCGTCAATACCTATCGATTGGCCAAGTAAAAAATTGCCACGCACACTCTAACGCCCACAAACCCAATAAACGCTTAAACCTGGCCAGCGCCTACATTTCCGCCTTTCATGACCAGTAGTACCAATATCTGGCGGTAGATGGCGCAATACAATATACACTAGCGCCATCTAGGAAATGGCATTGGAAAAAATCTGCCTTTATTTTCTGTAGTCACTCTAATTCACATTATGTTAATGCAAATTTTAAATTATTTAAAATGGGGCGCGCATTTTGACTCTTTTTGCTCGTATACGTTTTTCACAAGTGCATTCACCTGCGCTAGAGAGAGACGGAAGATGTGCTAGGCAGAATTGAAAGATCTAGAAAGCTTCTTCTAGAAAGAGATCCCTGGGTAAAAATCGAGCGGCGAAAAACATAAAAAAAGCATATTTCTATTAAGTTGTTTAGCTGAGTAACGGGTATCTAATAGCACTGGTCGACAAAAAAAAAGCCCATGAATAAAAGCTAGCAAACCTGAAAGGATTTTAGCTGTAGATTACTACCTGATACTTGGAAACTTTCTATCACGTCGAAGCTTTGAGAAATCCGTGGTCAAAGTTCCAAATTTTCGATTTTTAGGCACTTTTTGCGACTTAATAGTAAGAAAACCCTTCGCAGCCCAGAGCCACAATTTAGCGGAAAAGGTACTTTGAACCTTTAACTTCAAGATTGTCCAATCACAAAGTTGGGCGACCTCTACTTCTTTAGCTACAATGGATTTTACTGAAGTACTTTTTGTCACTTTTTTTCATCTATAGTAGCCTGATATTTTTAATGTATTGTATGTGTACGGGTCTCAGTTCATCAAGAAAAATATCAGGCTACTATAGATGAAAAAAAGTGACAAAAAGTACTTCAGTAAAATCCATTGTAGCTAAAGAAGTAGAGGTCGCCCAACTTTGTGATTGGACAATCTTGAAGTTAAAGGTTCGAAGTACCTTTTCCGCTAAATTGTGGCTCTGGGCTACGAAAGGTTTTTTTACTATTAGGCCGCAAAAAGTGCCTAAAAATCGAAAATTTGGAACTTTGACCACGGATTTCTAAAAACTTCGACGTGTTGGAAAGTTTCCAAGGATGAGGTAGTATTCTACAGCTAACATTCTTTCAGGTTTTGTAGCGTTTATTCTTGGGCCAAGAAAAAGTCTTGATTTTGTCGACCTGTGTAGTCGAGGCACTCGACTATAGCGTTCTCTCTTGTTTTTATTTAATTGAAAAAAATACAAATAAAAATGTACAAATTATTTTTAGCTTTCAGATCTAAGGGCCATATTGTTGTTAACAATTTAAGGCCAAATATTTGCAAATTGAGTGCACATTCTAGTTTGGTTTTTGACATATTAACAAAATAGTAGTAGTAGTAGGAGTTTTTCGGCTTATAAAGTACACCTTGATCAGCATAACTAGACGTGTTGAAATATCCATGACCATCTGCCCGTTTTGAAGCTATTGAAATGAAGCTTTCCCAAAAATCTTCCTTATATATCCTGAAAGTTGGAACCAGACGAATCGGATTATGGCTCCCATAAGAAGCATCGGTAAAAATAATGGAAATCGAATTCAAGGATGTTTAATATAGAGTACACACTGTGTCATCGGCAACAATGTCAATGCCAAATATGCAGGATCAGCACTCTGCAATTGCCAACGTAATCCGATCGCGTACGCCTTCATTAAGCTTAAGGGAGTGCGAGGGAGATGGATATATAAAATTTTGAATGCGCTTAACTTTTTAACGAATGATTCGATTTGAAAAATTTCTTCTACATTTCGATAGGTATTGATTAACACAATAAAACTGCATTTTTACTTTTCCAAAATCCATAAAGGCGTGTGCGCCAGACACCTTTTGAAATCGTTTAAGGCGATTGTGGGGGCGTGGCGCTCGGCTGAAACATACTTGCGCTGCGTTGGAAGCCAAAGAATATGTGTGGGTAATCCCAACTTTCTAGCTGTTGTAGTTTCCGAGATCTCAGCGTTCAAACAGACACAGAGACAGACAGACGGCTTGTGAGCCTGATCAAGAATATATATACTTTATAGGGTCGGAAATGCTTCCTTCTAGGTGTTACATACTTTTCCACGAATACAACATACCTTTTTACTCTACGAGTAACGGGTATAATTACAATTACATATCTTCCCTACATTGGATAGAA